CACCCAGGCCAAGCCACCCATAGCAAGGGAGCCATTTCCTCCCGCAATGTCCCTCCAGGGCTCTTTCCAGAGAAAACCTTCAGAGGAGAAAGGCTTAAAGGAATTCTCCCGGCTCTCACCTAGTGTAGATTCAAGAGTACATTGGAGCTGAGAGGGAAAAAAATTGACTACTAACATACCCGTCATGCTTCCATGTCACCTGTGCATCTCCTGCTGTTTCTTCTGGATCCAATTCTTCCCCCTTCTTGACCTGGTTATCTACAAGTGACTTTTGGGCAATCATTAGTTTCCCTTGGTTGTCTGCAGTCCAAGCTCTGCACACCTGGACTGTTCATGGGAAGTCTTAAGCCAACAGTTGTTCCATGTTGTTCTTGGACTCCTGAGGTCCCTGAGAGGCTGTCAGGATTTCTGAAAGGTCTCCGCTATTTTCCAAGTCAGTAGGCTTGGCATTTGGTGGGGAAACTGTTGGTGTTTCAGCAAACCGAAGGGGCAGTACAAATAGAACTTGAAGTCATGCATGCAAAGAAATAAGAACCAGTCTCAATTATGAATGTTCTTGATGAAGCAGTAGAAATTACACAGTGCAATGAAACCTCTTTCCTCGTGTACATGTCTGCTGAACCTTCTGGCTTATGGGTAGGGAAATGCACATTCCTCTGTGGCTGAATTCAAAAAAACTATGGTTCTCAAAGGAAGAGGCACCTGTGTGTCCTTCACAGAACATGATTTTTTACTTGAACTAGCGTGTGTGAGATCATGCACGTGTGTGCACACACATACCGTGGTTACTCAGACTTGGTATCAGCCAGACTGTTTCTGGGAAAAGATGATGGAATGAACAGGTCATTTAAAGATAGCAACTGATGGTGTTTACTGCCAATGATAAAATGTAAGATTTCAAGAGAAAATTAGAATAAAAAAAGTGTAGCTACTACCATGAGCTTAAGATCTTAACATTTTTGATGAGATTTGTGGCAGTATTGATGAATGCATTTTAAAATGTTTTATAATGAAATGTAGAGGAGGATCGGCATAACTCAATGAAACACTATTTTCCATATCACAATTTATTTTTTACAAATTCATTAATGGATGAAGATCCATTTAAAATGCAAGATAAGTGAGTAGGTTTTGTTGGAACAGAAAACAATGCCATTTATGTGATTTCAAATTCCACTTATCTGCCAATCCTTAAGAACCCACCACTTGGAGTTTCATTATAGTATTGAAGAATGCCCATGATTAACTGAAAAGGCCATTAAAATACTCCTCCCTCTCCCACAGGTATATCTGTGTGAGGCCAGATTTTCTTCATATACACAACCACATGTCAACAGATTGAATGCAAAAGCCAACTCTTAGTAACCCAGATGTTACAGAATTGGTAAAAACGTAAAACAATAGCACTTTTCTTACTAAAGTACATTAAAATGTCATTTATGTTAGGATGCTTATTATTCTATTGAAATGAATGAATAAATATTTAAAACATTTTCAGCATGAGTTAATGAATACAGTAAATATTATTAACTAGAGTCCACATAAATGAAAAGCTCTTGGCGATCCTCATTAGCCCTTAAAAGCAGATAAGGGCTCTAAGACCAAAATGTTTAAGAACCTAAATCTCCCTTCACCATTTGCATTCTCCAAACTGCAGGAAAATGTAGGTGCAGTAGTCAAGGCCAAGGCCAAGGCCAGAGGAGACTTCTTTACCCCAAGTTTGCTCATATGTAAATGACAGACCAAGATAAGTCTACTACCACAACCTCCTGCTTCTGTGGGCTACAGAACTCAGATTGGTTGCTTCCCCCAGGACACTCTTCGGAGGACAATGAGAGAATTTTGAAAGCCTCATGCCATGAAAATGGAGGAATGTCACCCTCCCCTCAACATGTATTCATTTAAACAAGTACTAAGCATCAGAGTTCAATGTCAAGCTCCTGTGTTTCTTGCTACTGAAGACAAAGTAAATAAAATATGGCCCATGCTCCAGTGGACCCATGCTCAACATATAGGGGGAGGGGGGGATGTCACGTGAAAAGAAAATGTAATAACGTGAATATGAATTAACCAGCATATACTATACGTGTAATATACAAGCTATAATTACATTGTGCTACTATTGTTATTATCCTATGTAATATTATAGTGGTAGACTATTTCATAATACATTGAATATCTGGGGAACAGGAAGTACTTTGGGGTTATACCTGACAACTGAGCACATGCACGTTAGGCCCATAAAGCAAAGCAAAACCACACATTTGGAAGGCTTGCTGTTAGCCTCTTACCATTGCCCTTTTGACAGTTACCCACTTGCATTAGTTCCCTAGGGTCATTGTTAACAACTCTGTGGCCTATAACAACAGAAATTTATTCTCTCACAGTTCTCGAGGCTAGAAGTTCAAATTCAAGGTGTCAGAGGGGCCAAGCTCTCTCCAAAGGCTTGAATCCTTCCTTGCCTCCTCCACTCCTGGGCACCCCTTGGAGGTGCCTCACTCCAATCCAGGCCTGCATTTTCACATGACCCTCTCCCTGGTATGTCTGTGCCCAAATTTCTGTAATAAAGACACAAGTCATATTTAGAGTCCATCCTAATCCAATATGACTTCTTCAGCTTGATGACCTCTGCAAAGATCCTATTTCTAAATCAGGCCCCACTCACAGCTTCCAGGTGGAGAGGAGTTTCGGGGAATGCTATTCAGCCTAGCCCGCCACCTTCAAACTATTCTCCAGCCCCCATCGCTCAGAACCGCCATGGAACAAGAACATCTGGGTTTCCCCTCATACTTTTTAGGGTGTGGGCCCCTGCTAGTTCTTCTCTGTGGATGTTTTGAGTCATGACCACAAACATTAACTCAAGAGCTTAACAAATGGATTATCAGGGCCACAGAGCTGTGAGGTTTGAAGGAGAACAGAGAAACCTGAAAGAGAGCTGCCAGGGTACAGAGGTAGACCGCAGAGACCCCACTTAGCCTGTTCACCGTTTGGCAATTTCTGTTTACTAGGCCTAGAGTCATCATGTGAGATGATGTTAATAAGAGAATGAAAAGGAGTGGAGATGAAAAGACATTACTGCCGAAACCCTGGCATGGCTGAGGGGACATCCTGGAGGACAGATGTCTTACCTCAAGATCATCGCCTCCCTGCACGGGTCTTGAGACCTTGGGAGGACACACCACCCAGTGGACCCCAGACTGGACTTCACACATGGTAGTTAGGAGGGCCAGGTCTCCAGCCAGACTGACTGGCTTCACCACACTGGGACCCTCGGGCCAGTTATATCACCTCTCTGTGCCACCATCTGCACATCTCTAAGGGATGATGTCCATTACAGGCTTCTCATGAGGAATAAGTGAGTTAATGGTGTATGTCAATCACTCTAGCAAAACCTGATGATGTGGACATTAGTTGTTGCTATTGACATTCTCACAGGAACTTTTGGTCCAGCTAAGAATTCTAGTATTTTACAAATTCCCTTCTTCAATCCCTTGTCCTTCCACTGCCACCACTGGAGGAAAATCAGATAGCCGTATGTGGGTGTGGCTTTTTGTTGTTTTTGCCTTTTAAAGTTCTCTTGTCGCTTAGATTATAACTGGCCCTGGGGGGAAATCCCTGCTGTCGGGATGTCATAAAAGACCAAGGACCCCGCACCTGACATGATGAACACAGGTGTGTTCCCAGCAATGGCGTCACTGATAGATGCCGGTTCTAACATGCTTTTTGGCTTTTGTTAGCTCTCTACGCAGGCGCATGGTCCACATAGGGGAACCCCTGCTGTCCCGGCTGCTCAGGGCACCCAGGAAAAGTGAAACCTGTATAGGAAGTGTGGCTCTGGGTACAGTTAAGAAGGGGGTTAAAGACCTATAATTTCATAGCAATTACCTACAATCAACACTGTCAAAGGCCATGGTTTTCCATTATAAATCCGAGCCTCTGCTAGGAGCGAATTGCAAAGCAGAAATAAGCACAGGATCAGGCACTAATGTATGCCAGACGGTGCTGCGGGCTGTCCCCGGGTGCCACAGCACAAGGGAAGTCAAGGGAGAAAATAATGCGTTGAGCATTGAGATGGCATTTGTTTTCTCCTTCTTTAAAAAAAATAAAAAAATCATTCTTAGTGAGCCCCAAGCCCTGGATGTTGGCTGCATCGTTAACAGCTTTGCAAGGAAGCCTGGGATCTTGACTCCTCATCCCCGCCCCCCAGTGGAGTCCTATGTTCCAGGAACCCAGTGACACTGAGGCTTCAAAGACTAGAGTGAATGGGATATTTTCTTCCTCTTGGTACCATATCAGGGGCAAAGAAACCACTCCATGGAAACAAACTATGCAGAGACCCATTCCCCAGCCTTTTTTGTGTTTGTCTGTGTGTTTGCTTGAACTAAATTTTTTATGCATGGCTCTGCAACCCCCTTAGAGGTGCAGAAGACAGACAGACTTGTCTCCCAGATGTAAAAACACTCTCTAGGAGATAACAAGCAGAGGAAATGAATGAAAAACGTGTGAAGGCATTCTGTGATGCGACCTGTGGTTGGTTCTTGTGTTTCTGTAGAGAGGGCAAATTATACAGGAACATATTTTGGCTAGATACAGGCAAAGTCAAGCTTTGAGGGATATAAATTACCAGTCAATGGAGATATTCAGGCATAGATTAGATGATTACATGGGGATGAAGAAGTCGATGTCTCAATATCATTTATGTTGGCCTGTGTGATGTTGGAGGTCCTCTTTTTGCCCTGAGATATCAAGGTCCTATGGTTTCAGAAAGTTATGGTTCTACAAAAATCTCCATGCTGGAAACTCAAGTTCAATTCAATGCATGGTGCCAGGCATGGTCATGCATAAGTATTAGAAAAACAAAGAAGTTGAATGTAGGACTATTGGCTGTGAAGTCAAATGGGGATGTGGTGCTCTTGGCACTGGTGTTAATGTGTATGATATGATGCCGGTGTCGCTAGTAGGCACGTGTTCACTCAGGACTCTGCTTCTCTTCTTTGCAGGCCGGAATCGATGGGGAAAGCATTGGCAACTGTCCTTTCTCTCAGCGTCTCTTTATGATCCTCTGGCTGAAAGGAGTCGTGTTCAACGTCACCACGGTGGATCTGAAAAGGTAAAGGACACTGCATTCCTGAGGAATATTCTTAGTTGCAAAGAACAGAGAACCTCAATGAGAGAGGGCAAATGCCCCCTATGGTCCCAGCAGCACACTGCTCGCACCTCACTACCTAGCACCACGCCTCCAGGCCCACCCTTCCTTACAAGGGATGCTGCAAACGCTGGTGTATCCCTTAGGGCTGAGAGCTTCACAGGCCTGATTAGCAAGGAGAAAGGAAGGAGTGGACATTGGCTCTGCAACTAAGAATGTGTGGTGCAGAGATGGGTGCAGATTCCCAACACATAGGAGTATCCATTCCAGCAATGCAGGCACCACCATCCGTGGGACACTAGAGGACTTCAGGGCTGAGTCCAACTCTTCACCCCTGAAGTTGCAATCCAGACCTTTTCCCACCGTATCTTTCCATCTTCTGAATTCCTCGGCGTGAGAGTTCTGGATTATGGGCCCAGACAGAGAGGTACTAGTGCTCTCTGCTTTTAAAGGGCAGCTTAACAGCTGTTGAAATACCAGGCATCTTTCAATACCAGAGCCAAGCTCTTCACTCTTACAGAATGTGGTGGTTCCTCTCTTCAATCTGCCCTTGAAACCTGGAATGGATCTGGACTTCCTCTTAAGTGTCTGCCTTCCACCCCCACCTTCTTCCCTGGTTCTTCAGATCCTGGCTATCTTTTAGATATTTTCACTTGGACATTCCATTGTCACTATATAACCTCTGTGTCTAAAATTGTGTCCATCTTTTCTCCCTTTGCAACATGTTCTCTTCCTAGATTCTTTGCTTTCCCATTCTCTAGGCACCAAAATGTTTCCAGTTCCTTTCTCTTGCCACCTTCCTCAGTAAGTAGCCAAGTCAGCACATTCTCCCATTAACTCCTTCTTTTGGGGGTGGGGGGTATCCTGGGGATTTAACCCAGGGGTGCTCTAAGCCACTGAGCACCTTTTATTGTTTCTTTTGAGACAGGGTCTTGCTAAGTTGCTTAGGGCCTCACTGAATTAACCCAGGCTGGCCTTGAACTTGTGATCCTCCTGCCTCAGCCTCACAAGTCACTGGGATTACAGACCTAGGCCACTGACTTCTGTTGCACTCTCTCTTTTCCATTCTCAAAGCCCACACCTGGTTCAGGGCTCACCACTGCCAGCCTGATTGTCTCTTTGTTCTTCAAATGGGCCTTCAGCCTCTCAGGTTCTGTCCCCCATACCCGGTCCCCACCCTTCCATCCCGAGGTTATTCCTCCTGGAATAGCACTTTAATCAGGAGCCTCGTCCCTTGATCAGAAAGCCTTCCCTACTCTCTGCTGACCATAGAATCAATGCCTCTGAGACCCTCTTTACCTTCTCCTTGCTTCTTCCCAACACTGCCTCCCCACACACCTGTCAGGCTGGCCCACCTTCTGCTGCTCTTGGTCCTTGTAGCCTGCAGCCTGTGTCCAGATTCATCCTCTGTCTAAACTGGCACCTTCCTCCCTGTCCCTGCAGACTGCCCCACTCCTGGACTGTGACTTTAGCCTCATCTCCTCTGCGAGGACTCCTACCTCCCCATGCCCAGGAACCTACCTACCAACCGACCTCCAAACTCACCTAGTCCTGTTGTCTAGATCGCATTGGGCCTCAAGTTAGCCCAATTATGATAGCTTCACCCAGTTACGGTAGCTGCAGTCCTCATACTTTGCACTGGAAGCGTTTTCCCATAAAATAAACAACAACAACAGCAACAACAAAACCCTACATATAATTGTGTGAAAGAGGACTGTTTCTCCATTTTATGCAAGGAAACTGGGATGGGCACAGTTAGAAGATTTGCTCAAGGTGAACTTGAAATTGGAAGGACTGCTACTAAAATCTCAGTGTCCTGGGTTTAAATCTCACGATCGGGCTGGGATTTGTGGCTCAGCGGTAGAGCGCTCGCCTAGCATGTGCGAGGCCCTGGGTTCGATCCTCAGCACCACATAAAAATAAATAAAATAAAGGTAATGCGTCCAACTACAACTAAAAAGTAAAAATGCTTTTTTAAAAATCTTATGATCTTCAAAAACACATCAGTTATGAAGTTCGTGTCTTTCAAATAAAACCTTAAATTCCTCAAGGACAGGCCACAGCAACTAGCTGTGTACTGATCCTCAACTAACATCTGTCAAGTAAAGGAACACACCTGTGCCATGCAGTTAGTGTCTCTGGTGACAACTAAAGAACCAGAGGTGTTCACACAGTTTGAAAGAATAGACAATCATCTTTAAGAGGGGACCCATGTGTTCAGCTGGAACTCAGAATGGGGCAGGGAGCCACTAGTATGCTTCAGATCACATCTGGTCCCACCAGCATCCCTTTGAGACAGGCCATACGTGTGTCACCACTCCAGTGTTACAGATAAGGAAACTTTCATACTGCCCACACACACACACGTGCATACACACACACACACACACACACACACGTGCATACACACACACACACACACACACACACGTGCATACACACACACACACACACACACACACATTATTTTCTAAGAACACTGATTTCTTATCCTGGTACCACCATTTATTGGCTGAGTGACCTTACACTCTTCTAGCCTCAGTTCTGCATCTGTACATCAGAGAAAAATTTTACTGCCTTCTTAATCAATAGGAGTCTGTGAGGAGCTAGTGAGGCAGGCCATAAAAATTATTTGCATTCAGCATTGTACCTGGCTTATTTCTGTTCCATACTTTGTTGACTGTTCTTAGCAATACCTGCCCCCGTGGAGCTGGCAATCCAGTTAGGAAAAGAAGACTGATACACATTAAATAACTTACGCCTTAGACCCAGCAACATGCCGTTCAATGCTAATGGTATAACTTCAACTATAAATGCCAGAGGAGGTCCACAAGAAAAGCAAGAGGGTCCTGTCTGACCAACATCCCATTGACAGTGCAGCCCTAGAATCTCCTCAGGGTGTCAGACTCCAGTGGCCAGGGTGCCTTCACGTCCCAGGGAAAAACTCCACCACCGCCACAACCAATTCCCATCTTTAAGCCACAGAGAGGTCACCACTGAAAACTGAAATCTGGCACGCAGCCTGTGTGAGCACTAGAAAGCCAGGAACAAGTCAAGAATGTCCTTTCATTGTCTAAACGGAGGGACACACACAAAGTAAACAAAGGCACTAAGTAAATCAGATTTTAAAAATACTTTCCATCCCAATTGTCTGAGTTCCAAGTGCCACAGCGCAGCTGGAGAGGGTGCATGTGGGGAGCGACCAGGGAGGAGCCCTGTAATTGAAATTCTTCTGGTCCCCTCCCCAGCTGATTTAGCCCGGAATTTCTTTCATTACAGAAGCCTCTGCCCCTTTGTTTCCTTTTTCACAGTTCCTCCTTCTAATGTTTTCCAGCCTGACTCCCACAAGAAACGCTGCTTGCTGAGAGAGCATCTGGGGTGCCTCTCCACATCCAGCCCTTGCCGGGGAGGTCTCCACCATGATTCCTCCTCTTCCTTCCTTCCCTCCCCACACTTTCCTGATCTGCCAACCTCTCTGATCTGCCTTTTGCTCCAGCCTTGCACTTGCACTTGCACTTGGCTACAGAACACAATGTTGGCGGAGTGCACAGAGCCCATGTCACACACGTTCCTTCCTGCTGTGGGCGCCCCAAGTCCCTCCTCACAGCCGTCAGAACACTGCCCAGGACAAACCAGGCCCATGCTTGGCATCACAGTGGGCCGTGCAGAGAGGTCATCCGTGATCGCTTGCTCATTTGATGTGTTCCATGATGTCACCCTCTTTATCACCTAAAATGCTATCCTCTTTGGATAATATAGGACATTTGGGGGTGGGTATTAGGGATTGAACTCAGGGGCACTCAATCATTGAGCCACATCTCCAGCCCTGTTTTGTATTTTATTTAGAGACAGGGTGTCTTTGAGTTTCTTAGCACCACACTTTTGCTGAGGCTGACTTTGAATTCACAATCCTCCTGCTTCAGCCTCCTGAGAGGCTGGAATTATAGGTGTGAGTCACCGCACCCAGCTGATTCCGGACTTTTGCATTCCCTCGGCACTGATGCTTTGGTTATCTTAGATGTCTTTAAGTTTCTGACCCAGAATCCTACAAGCATGCAAGCAAGAGGCCTTCTCTCTTCTTAGGGACTGCACTTGCTGCTTGTTATAATGTATGTTTAACTTCAAAGATCCTACTGGTCCCAGCAAAGCTTCTTAATATTGAATTGAGTTCATTACCTAGAAAATGGATTATTTATAACTTAAGAACACAAAATACCCTCATAATTTTAAAATTTAGGCACAATTTCAGATTCATAGGATACTTTTAATTTCTGTGTGTTGAACAGAATTTTTAAAACACTTCAAGAAAAATAAGTACCTTTCAGTAAAATTAGAATCACAGTCGTTACATTTTAAGCATAAAGTGTGTGTGCTCAAATTAAGTTCCAAAGTTAAACCAGTGCAGAAGGCAGACTGGTGGAGTACAAGCACTCTTGCATACAATTGCTTTCTGACCCTCTCCACATTCAATTGAAAGCTGAAAGTCTTTATCAACTTCAGGCCAATCTTTGATTTCTAATTCTGCAGTTAAAATATCTCCCTCTTAAATTAAAAATGTCTATTTTATTTATGTAGCCATTCAAAAAAATCTGCCTCCTATATGCCAGGCACAATTCTAGGCCCCTTTCCTCCTGAATTTTGAGTTATAAGACTTTCCCTTAGATATCTGCTAACAGAACCCAATCACAGTAGGTTCTTGATGCAGAATCCTTAGTCTCAGCCTCTCTGGTGACCAATGATGTGGAAGCACATTTTCGTCAGACTAACAAGTGAAGGAACTTTTGAAGGCAATGCCCAGCCTCTTCTCCCACAGTTGAAGTAGGGGGCTGATTTAGGCAGTCCCGGCTGATTCCCTCCACGTTTTCTCCAGTGCTCAGCTCCATCCTGACTGGGGTTCCTCTGGCACTGACTTCCACTGGACAGGTCTGTGTGTCACACCACAAGACTTCAGAGCTCTCTTCAGCCTCTCCCGCCCCACCCTGTAGGTCTGGTTCTGCTGATGGACATAGGGGATAGCACAGAGAGGCTCATGTCTAATAAATCTTAGGTTTCTCAGAACAGGAAGTTTCCTGGTATATGTCAACATGTGAATCTCATTCTCTCTCTACAGAAAGCCAGCCGACCTGCACAACCTAGCCCCTGGAACCCATCCACCCTTCCTGACCTTCAACGGAGATGTGAAGACAGATGTCAATAAGATCGAGGAGTTCCTGGAGGAGACCTTGACCCCTGAAAAGTAATGAGCTCTTTGGAGCTAATGAAAGGGAAGGGGGCTACTTGGAGGAAGGCAGATTTCCTGAGAAAGGCTGCTCAGTTCCAGAGCACGGGATCCTCTTTTCAAAGAGAGAGTGTAGGACCCCCCCCAAAGGCTGCAATCTCAAAATGGCCCCACTGGCTGGGTTGGGTGGCACCCATCTGTAATCCCACCATCTTGAGAGGTTGAGGAAAGAGGATAATAAGTTTCAAGCCAGCCTCAGCAACTTAGCAAAGCCCTGTGTCCAAATAAAAAATAACAGGCTGGGGGTGCCCAGTGTCAAAGTGTCCCTGGGTTCATTCCTCAGAACCGCAACACAAACAACAACAATAACAAAAAGAAACACACACACACACCCCTCCACTAAATGCACTCACTAGTAGGAATCACTGTAAGAGAGACGCAGTCCGTCATTCCTACACAGAGGGATTTGGGGAGTCCCGGGAAGACCACTACCCTCCCTTGACCCATATGTCCCCCTCACTCCAGTTCACTTTGCTCAGAAGACCTCAATGTGAGAGCAGAGGCTGACTCCTCATTCCAAAAATGCCGAAAGGCTCCTATAATGAAAACAAGCCAAGAAAGGGACCCCCCGTGACTCAAACCGGGAGTCAAAGTCATCAGAGGTCAGACTTGTTCATTATAGAACATTCAGGAAGAGATTAGAGCAATCACACTTTTTTGAAAAACTATTAGAAAAATAATATTACATAGAGAGCAAGGTATGATCTTCTGGCTGCAGGAGAGACCCTGAAAGTCTTCAGCACAGGACTGGGAGGTTTGCTTTGGGGGCTGGGAGAAGTAGTAGTGTAGAGGGGTGGGTAAAGCTGAGGTAGAGAAATCAATTAGGAGGTACCCGTTGGTGACAGTCCAGATGAGACGGAATAAAGGGCTAGACCAAAGAAGTGGCAGCAAAATGTGGGAAGAGGAATAGGAAGGGTTCAGAACCTACTTGGTAGGTAAGATAAGTGGAGTTTGACAACTAAAAATCATTGTCTTGAATTTATTTTATTTATTTGTTTATTTGACAGTACTAAGGATTGAACCCAGGTGCCTTGCACACACAGGCAAGCCTCTGCCACTGAGCTACATCCCCAGCCCTTTTCTCTATTTTGAGACAGCACTAAGTTGCAGAGACTGACCTTCAACTTGGATGCTCCGGCCTCAGCCTGCTGAGTATCTGAGATTACAGGAGTGAGTGCACCCCCGTGCCTGGCCCAGCTTGTATTAATTTGAAAGTCTCATTTTTTTCATCAGCACAGGGCACTCAGTGGCCAGCGCCATTCACAGCACTTAGCTGCTACAACTCCTGTCACTGTCATCACCGTTCTGGGAGGGAGGTGCCATCATTGTCCTCATTTTCCAGTTTGGCACAGTGTAACTTGTTGCCTATATACTGAACTCCTGTTGAGAAATTAAAACTCTCAGCCGATTAAGCCTTTAAACAATCAGATGTGTTCTTCCTTAAAATTTTTCTTTGTCGCCCATATTAATGGAACAGTTCATTTTCACACTGAGTGGAAAATTGCCTCAAGCCCATTGGAAGCCACTGAGGGTAGACTTTAAGTTAAGTGCATTAATTAAATCAAATGGGCAGCCCCCACAGATTGAAGCCACACTCGTCTCTGAACAGGACACCAGCCAGCCACTTGGTTGGAAGTGCCCTGAAGGGGTGGGTTGTATCCCATATGAGACTCAGCCTAATAGTACTAGTTCAAAATCCTACATTACGGGGGTTCACGCCTGTAATCCCAGAGGCTCTGGAGGCTGAGGCAGGAGGATCTCAAGTTCAAAGCCAGCCTCAGCAAAAGTGAGGCACTGAGCGACTCAGTGAGACCCTGTCTCTAAATAAAATACAAAATAGGGCTGGGATGTGGCTCAGTGGTTGAGTGGCCCTGAATTTCCCAATACCCCCCCACACACACACAAACACACACACACACACACACACACAAAAAAAAAAAAATAAATAAACAACCCACAAATGCTGCTCCGGGCTCTGCCAGTGATGTGCTGTAACCTCCTGAATCTGCCCCTTCTCTGCTCTGGGTCTCAGTCCTCCTCTGTGAAAGGACCCTTCCTGCCTTCTATTCTTCCCACTCACTTTATTCAGCCTCCCCACCTCCTCCCCACCCCAAATCTGACTACACCTCTCCCTTGCTGTTTCTCAGGCTCAGGCATCCCCAATCTGCACCCACCTTGGGGCTCAGAAACCCTGGGAATTCTACACCCTTTGAACAGTCTTTCTGCGGAAAATCACCGTCAGACTCTTCATCCATTCTCAACCATTTCCAGTGATCCATCAGGGCTAGATGATGTTGGATGCGGACACTCTAACCCTTCCTCTCTCGCCCACATAACCTGTCCTGAAGGCTGCTGCTTCTCCTCCAGGTTATTTCCTGGATTGGAGTTAAATGCAGGAAGCTTTACAAAGTACATTCCTGCCACATTAGCGATCCAGTGATCCAGCACTCCCAGGTGGCAGAACTTCAAAACTGTTACATGCACAACTCTAGAAGGCTGCTAAGGGGAGGGCCCTCTTGGCAAGACCATCGACCTCTCTGGATACCCCCCACCAGAAGTGTCCCTCAGATGCCTTTGTAGCTATAAGGTACTGCAGGTAGCCCCTAGCAAATGTCACCAAGCCAGTGCCTCAGTCCCGTGCAGAGGTACCTGCTGGCCCGATCACAGGCCACCACTGCAGCTGGCTTCCACATTAACTGATGCCAAGAGGTGGGGTGACCTGCGTTCTGAGGCCCCTGGAACAGTGTGCTGTCTGGCCTTCTGGTTCTCCAGGGGGCAGCAAAATTCCCAGAACGGTTCCCGCGGGGCTGCTCTGCATGTGTTTCTCATCACACTGCTGTTTGTAAAACCTGCCAGAAGCCAAGACATCGTGGGAGCTTTTCTTTCCCCTTAGGTTTTTCTTTTCTTTTCTTTTCTTTTTTTTTTTAGGAGAAAATCATATACAAACACTCCAACAACATTTTCTTTTTTAAAGTCACATTTGATCCCATAGAGCATTTGGTGTCAGATGAGGAATCCAGGAAGTCTCAAGTAGTTTCTAAATGAGACTAACATCCGTGTCTTTCCGTCAGTTGTCCCAGTTAATGCTCAACAAGGAAGTGTGGGGATTAGACTTGGAGTCACTGTGGAGAGGTGCTGGCCCTGGCCTTTCGTCTCTGTGGATGGCCAGCATTTCTAGAATCCAGAACTGAGAATTAGGAGCCCTAACTGTGGCCACTTCTCTCCCATCTGTAGACCTGGTGTGACCTTGGACAAGCCTCTCTCCCTCCGAGGGCTTCCTTATTTTCTCTAAGATAAGGGGGTGACACTACCTAGTCTCTAACATCCCATTAAGCCCATATTCTCTGGTCCCATGGGTTTCTCAGGGTGTTCTCCCAGAGCTGGCTGCTGTTGAAAAGAGTCCTGTAAATTTAGGAGGCTAAACTAAAACAGTTGATTAGAGAGCATGCTATCGAGCCAGTCCACTAGCAAGCAGCCAGAACTGTGAGTGTCAACTTTGAGGGCTGGGGTTGTGACTCCGCAGTAAAGTACTCTCCTAGCACATATGAGGCACTGGGTTAGATCCTCAACATCACATACAAATAAATAAAATAAAGGTATTGTATCTATCTACAGCTAAAAAAATTTTTTTTAACAAAGAGACTTTGAATTCTTTATTTTTTTTTTAAGCAGAGATATCCAATAACCGTAAAAAGGAAGAATGTTCTTCTAACCACCTGGTGGGTAGAGAAACGACCTCTGCATGCATCCTTCCGGATGAGGACTGAGGGTGGGCTTTGGAGTCCCAGTGACTTGGGTTCCAATCCATACCACCAGGTGGTGCTGTTCTGCAGTAACAAAGGAGCCACAAAATCTCCCTGGTTTAACAGAATATACCCCTTATATACCACTTGAGCCAAGTCTGAGTGGGTAGTGTGACCCTCTTCTATCTTGTAGCTTTTGGAATGTATGGCCTCCGAGATTCTTTCTGCAGAAAAAAAAGAGAAAAAAGGGATCACACTAAGTGTATTTAAGGGTTAGGGCCATGGAGTAGGGGGATATATCACTTCTACTCACACTGCATTGGCCAAAATCCAGTCACATGACCCCAGCATCACAGAGAGGGAGGCTGCAAAGCACCAAGAAGAACATGGAGGTTTAGTGAGCATAAGCACTCCCTGCTACAGGCGAGTGAGTTACTGAAAAGCTCTCTGATCTTTGTTTTTCACATCTATAAATTGAGAGCCATGATATTGATTTTAGAGAGCTTTTGTAAAAGACACTACTGCTGAGCCCTGGGGCCTGGCACAGAGTAAGTGCTCATGAAGTGGCCGCTTAGAGAGTCCACACCTGCTTTGTGGCTGCCTCCCAGGTACAGTCATAAGGACAACTAGTGACCTGAGGCTTAAACACAGATCCCAAAGAATGCCTTTTAATTAAGAAGCCAGACCTTCCAAATATCTTATGCTTAAATAGCATAGGCAAGACAAACAGGAGGGAATCAGGGGTCAGAAATGTCAGAACCATGAACCTGCCTCTCAGGTAAGGGTTTGGTGAAGTGAGGAAGCAAGAATAATGGAGAAGGGTGAGGCAGGAAGTGCTTCCCCATCTTACTTCTTAAAGGAAGTAGGGCCAGTACTCTGGCTGCCAGGAGAGACCCCAGAATCAGCAAAAGTCACTCCATCAGGACTGTCTCTCTTTTTCTCCAGTGTGTTCCCCAAACAAGGCACAGGGCCTGGCCCTTGGCAGGTGCACGCTGTTCTTGTATCCAATGGCACAGTGACCTGTGTGTCAGTGAGAAGGCATCTGGAACTCCACCTGCCAGAGCACTTACCATCAGCAATCATTTTTTTCCCCCTGCTACTAATAAATTTTTTCCCTATCAAAAACATTTATTATTATCTTTTTTTTTTTTTGTAAAAGGTCAACTCTTTTACTTAGAATGAAATTTAAGTGCAGATATAAGATGAGTGCATTTGGAATAAGATCTTACAAACGACAGAGAGAGAAATTTTCTTCAGTGAGGTCAAGATCAACAAACCATCAGTAAAATGCAAGAGACTAAATATTTTTGGCTTTGCGGGCCCCAGGGCTCTGCCTCCACTCTGCTGTTGTACCATGAAAGCTGCTTTGGCTGATACGTAAATGAATGGGCTGGGTTGTGTGCCAGTAAAATTTTACTTGCTAGCAATGAAATTCAAACTTATTATTATTTTCACACAGTACAGAGTGTGTATCCTTCTTTGATTTTTTTTCAACCATTTAAAAATGTATGATCCACCTGGGTGGGATGACACACACCTGTAATCCCAGCAGCTCCGGAGGTGGAGGCAGGAGGATTGTGAGTTCAAAGCCGGCCTCACCAATTTAGTGAGGCACTAAGCCACTCAGTGAGACCCTGTCTGTAGTAAAATACAAAATACAGCTGGGGATATGGCTCAGTGGTCGAGTGCCCCTGAGTTCAATCCCCAGTACCCAAAATAAGAAAAAGAAGAAGAAGAAAACAACTAAAAATACCAGATCCATTGTTATCTCAAAGACCATGCACAAACAGGGGCCATGAGCTGTATTTTGCTAACCCCTAATTAAGAGAAATTAATCCTTTTTTTAAAAATTGTCATCAGACTCCAACATACTGTTATTTCAAAGATGTTTCTGTGAATGAAACACGGTTTGCTAGTCTTTTTAGAGAAGCAGAAGAAACTTTGTAGCCCTTCCTTTGCATATTTGGAATAAGGGAGAAATATGAATATACTTATCCCACAGAGAAGCTCCTCAGGTGTTGTCACTTAAATCTGTGATATAAACATCTTGGAGACTCCTTTTCCACAAGAATGAACTGCAAATGAAATACGACACTATACAGTAAAGTTTCAACGAATCATAGTGCTCAGGAAGCGGA